TCTAGATCAAATACCGCTGTCGATCAAAGGGTGAAGGGGTGCATATGGTAAGGTAATAATTTTAAACACCTAAAAACTCTAGGCATATCGTTGACATTTTTAGAGATTTTATTTTTTATAATCTGGGAGGAATCAACAATATGTAGACATCTCTTGGTCTAGTTTTTTTATGAAAAAATCTAGTATTGTTATCCAATATTCCAGTCGCTGTTGTGGGGTGGACGATGAAAGTACTTCACATCTGTTTTATTACTATTCAGCGTGTGCATGTCGTCATTTTACTATTTTTGGGGTAAGCATTTTTGGGGATTTCAACTAACTCCAGAATTTCTCTCTAAAAAGCATTTTAACCTTTGCTAAAAATTTGCCAAAGGCAGTTTTTAAGCCTCTGAGTTTCTTATACAGTAACATAAAGAGCTGGTATAACCCAATCTAACTTAAGTATTAGAACGATTTATTTCTCGTATATTATTTAGAATAACTATTTATATACAAATCTGTTTGTTAACGTTACAGTTCACATATAATAGAATATGAATTATATATAGTAAGCTATGTCATGTATAAGAAAGATATGGTAATATGTGAATATGTCTATAATATAAACATATAAATAACTCCATAAGCTCATATTTATATAAAAGTCTTTCTCAATTATTATTAGAAAATTTCAAACTTCTAAATTTAATAATAAATTTTTTACTAAATAAACAATAAAAGTCTAGAGTTTATTTTCTTTATTAAATTGCAAAATTGAATGCATGAATAAAATTTTCTTTAAATTTTATTATCACCAATTCGTTACATCTTTGAAGTGCATCTGCAACCAAGAAATTTATTGACTTGTCTAAAAAGTTACTCAACGTAGACATAAATTACCATAAAGTCAACTTGCAATTTACATGCAACAAATATTTTCAACTAACAGAGCAGCATATGTAAAAATACTTTCAACTGCGATAGAGAAAAATATAACTAAAATAAAAAAGAACGCTAAAATAACGAAAAAATAATGAAAAAATAACGAAAAAATAAGAAAAAGTG